CAATAAAAATCAAATTTATTTGACCTTATTTTAAAACCTATGTCATATTTACGAAGGACATATTTTTTAAAAGATATAAATTTCTTTGGTACTCCTTCCTTATAAACACAATCAAATGAATTACAAGGGAATGGATGAAAAAGAAATAGTTATAACTCAAAATAACTTCTACATTTTTTTTTTTAATGACAATGTCTCTTCTACATTATTGATTGTTAAATTGAAAATAATCAATTATTTTTACAAAAAACTTTTTAGCCTTTAAGATTGAAACTTCTAAACTAGAAACAATTACAAAAATTAGAAAATTCTATTAGGATCATGTACATTAACTAAAACTAAAGTTTAGCATCTAAGTTGAAGAAAGTCAAGATAAAACCTTTACTGAAAACACAGTTCTGTAGAATAATCTTTGAGTCTACCAACTCTAGATTAAAAACTTTAACGTAAAAAAGAGTATTTGTATATTGTGGCAGTGTGCTTTAAAATTTAAATTATTTCTAGCCACCATATGCTAGTAAGTTTTAAGACATGATAATATTGTCAATGACCTAAAATAATTTAGTGATCATCTCTTTCTATTGAAAATAAAAAGTCTTGAATTTAATTCGCATGACATGCGAATGTGATGAAATAAAAAATAAAAAATAATTACATTTTATTGTACAACTAAAATATACATACATATATATATATATATACATGATGATATTCGATTGAAAAGAAACACAACGAACAAACCAACAGGTCAAATGAACATGACAATCCCTTTTGTGAGAGCATCCCCCAACAGCAATCAAGGGAATCCCACATTATCTAATTGCCATCAAGATTATGGTTAAAACTAATTTTTAGCCCCTCACTTTATAAAATTGATAAGTTTTAGTTCTTAATCATGACATTTTTAATCTTTTACCTTACAAAATTTGTAAGTTTTAACACATCACCTTACAAAATTGATAAGTTTTAACCCTTCATCTTATATTATGACATTTTTAGCCATTTATCTGTACGAATTAAAGAAAATAACTCTCATTTAACATTATATTATAATATTTTATTAATTTCATTAGTTGACTGTTAATTCTGTTAACTGACTATCAATTTTACTAGTTGATTGTTAATTCTGTTAATTGACTGTTAGTATCTGTTAGCATCTGTTAATAAAACTAACAAATAAAATTGAATTTAAATTTCATGTTTTTATAATGGAATGCTAACGGATGTTAACAATCAACTAATAGAATTAACAGAACATTATAACTTAATGTTAAGTGAGGGCTATTTTCTTTAATTTGTATCAGTGAGGGGCTAAAAATATCATAATATAATATAATAGGTTAAAACCTATCAATTTTGTAAGTTGAAGGGTTAAAACTTATCAACTTGATAAGATAAAAGGTTAAAACTGTCATATTATAAAGTAAGGGACTAAAATTTACTAATTTTGTAAGATGAAAAGCTTAATATTTGTTTTTGCCCAAGATTATTGGCATGCTCACAATACTCCTTGGCATGCCTTGGCCCGACTACATAAAAGGTATTTTTTTTTATCACTTTATTTTTTTTATTTTTTATTTTTTATTTTTGAACAAAGTCAATTGAGAGAAAAGGAGATAAGGAGATGACTAGTATAGCCACTTTCACATTTATCAAGAGTTTTGTGCACTCAAATCAATGTTATTGGTGCTTTTTATCACTTTATTTGAATTTAAAGTCTCATTTGACTTCTATAAAATAACTTCATTTTAAAAAAATGTTTTTTAAGAAAATTAATTTCTAATGTTTGAAATACTTTAAAAAACTTTCAATGGAAAATATTTTTTCATTGTTATGTTTGGTAGGCTATGAAAAATCTCCAAAATTTTCAAAACATTAATTAATTAATTATTAAAAATTAAAAAATAATCAAACATATATTTATTAATTTTAAATTGTCTATGTACTATTAAAATAAAATTTTAAACACTAATTTCTTTGCTACTATTAAAAAATTACTATAGTATTATGAGTTATGAAAAGGCCTAAATATCCCATACAGAAGTTCGGATGCATAAACGTTTGTTAATAACAATTTTTTTAGTACATAAAACCATAAACAATCTGAATAAAACCTGCATTTTATAAGTTAGAAAATTTTAAAAATTAAATATGTTTTGCTGAAATTTTTTCTTTTTTGGCCAATAAGCATGTATATTATTATAAAAATATTAAACTCCGAGTTTAATTACATAGCATACAGTGAAATAAACTAAAAAACTTGGAACAACTCTAAATTGTCCATCAACCACAAAAACACAAATGGATGACTGAAGTTCCAGACTTGTCCAAGAGCTAGAAAGCAATAGAGGAAGGAGGTAATCCAAGAAGGCAGCACTGTCTCTAAAAACACAGCATTTCTCAAGCTGGCAAACTAAGCACTATGTTACCCAGGACAATGAGAAGAATTGGGATGTTGCAGTTGAGAAAAGAATTAAAGATCCCCCAAAGAACCTACTGCCCCTAAAGACTAATGGTGAAAATCAAATTTGCAAGACCTATTTACATTGCTTGTCATCTCTTCATGCAGTCTTGGTTCCGAGATCTTAAAACGATGATATTCAAATGAATTGAACAAAGCCGAGACTGATCACTTGATACTTTGCTTCTGCCCCAGACTGAAGAATGAACTTTTTGATTAAAGAAACCTTGTCTCTTGATGACGGACATCTGCAGGACAGTTTTCCTTCCTTGCATCCATAGATACAGTGTTCCTTTTTCACATTCATAGCCAAAATTTTAATGTGTAGGGTTTTCAAGATGAAGTAAAAAAGAATTGAAGTAGACACGACCAAATTGTAATTTAAATTGTAGAGCCTAAGTCATTCTTACCAATTTTCCAACCTACTTAATGAAGAAGGTTCATAACACTTATACTGTAATAAAAGGAAGCAAACACAGCTGGGCAACGGACAAAAAGATGCCAAAGAAGAAGGAGAAGTTTCTTCTTTGCAGCATGAAACATCTTGCTTAACAAATTTAACTATTGGTTAGGAGCATAAAGGGGACAAGAAGTATGCTGTATATTGCTTTTAGGACAAATTGTTTGCTATAACAAATCTTAAACAGGATTAAAGGCTCGAGTTTTCGAGTTTACCCAGTAAAAAGCAAGAAATCAGATCTTGCTTTCCTTCTCATCACTCTCTGTAGACATGACAGAAATTAATTCTCAGTCACCAGTATTTAGCAAACATGCAAATGGGAATCAAGTAAGGAAGCTAACCACAATAGTTGCTGTCACCACATGTTTCTCCTTGTTTGAATTTAACGGTCAAGATCATCAGCTGATTGTGGCACTCATGATCTGTCTACAATCCCTGCAATGGAATAGACAAATGTATTTATCAAAGTTCATTTCTCAAACATATTCTGAAGCAAAGGGAGGGGAGTGGGGCAAAAGAATCAAAAAAGAAGTAAAAGCTTCTTCTTGAGACAATGTAGGAATTTAATTGGTTAGGAAGCAAGGAAGTTGATTCACCTCACTTCTTTTTTCCGCGTGGGATGCCTATATATAGGTTTGGCCAAATTGCAACGAAGGCACAAGCAATCTACTCTTCTTCTCCTACCCCTACAACTCGAGTTTCGTCCTGTCTTTCCTCTCTCTCCGCAGCTTCAATGGCGCTTAGAACTCTCCCTAGTTCCACTCTGCCACCCATGAGGAGTGACAGGAGCATGTTAACCATGTCTGATGACAATGTAATGCTGAAGCAAATTCAGAGCACACATGCTCCTGATGGCCGGGAAGTTGATATCAAACCTCTCTTCAATCTTGTTGAGGACATCCTTGATCGTGCCACCCAGCATGTTGATACTGTTTTCCTGGTATATATCATATGCATTTATCTTATCAAACAAAATAAGATGGCTGAATCCATTTGAAGTATTTCTTTCCTTCTCCGTTTACTCATCGTCCTTTGATTTTTCACAGGGTTCCCAAGCAAAAAAGGAAATAGAAGAAAAGGCTCACCAAGCAAATCTCGTTGCTTCGGTTGACTCTCTTACATTCATCATTGATCGAATTTCATGTGAGGTACGTAATTGCAAATTTAACTACAATTAGAAAAATGCTGGTTTTGTTTTGTATGCTATTGCAATTCATAGATAATATATTGAGAATTCAAATATTTTCAGATATCTTACAAGGCTTTGGGTGGTTCTGATGCACACCAAACAACACTTGCCATCTTCAACTTGGTATCAGAATTCTCATGGGATGCTAAGCTGGTGCTGGCCCTGGCAGCCTTTGCCCTGAACTATGGAGAATTCTGGCTCCTAGCTCAGATTTACTCTACAAACCAACTTGCCAAGTCAATGGCAATCCTGAGGCAGCTACCATCAATCCTGGAGAACACCGGTCCCCTCAGACCCAAGTTTGATGCCCTCAACAATCTGATTAGGGCCATAATGGATGTGACTAGATGCGTGGTTGCATTTAACGACCTGCCACAAGCCTACATAACACAAGATGTTCAGGCATTAAGCACAGCCATTGCCCATGTCCCAACTGCAGTCTATTGGACCATCAGGAGTGTCGTGGCTGCTGCTGCTCAGATCACTACCCTTACTACCATGAGCCATGAGTATGTCATTATCTTCTTCATCTAATATTAATATATTATACTTTTTTTAGCAGCAAAAAAATAAAATATATGTTATACTATTTCTCTTAACTAATAGTTTTGATTAATTTCAGGTTTTCAATATCAACAACAGAGGCATGGGAGTTATCCACCTTGGCTCACAAGCTGAAAAACATACATGAACTTCTTAAGAAGCAGCTGGATCTTTGCTACCAATTCATAGGTCAAGAACTCGTTATATGAATTACATTAAAAACAAATGTTGCAAGGCCTAAAACATGTATTAAAATGCTCATCAAATGCTTGATTTCTTCAAAATGCAGATGAAAAGAGGAATGTTGAATCTTACCAGATGCTCAAGAACCTCTTTGAGATGATCCACATTGACAACATGAAGGTTCTCAGGGCCTTGATATATGCCAAGGATGATCTACTGCCGCTTTTTGATGGTTCTACCAAGAAAAGGGTTCTCATCTCATCTCTTCCAACTTTTGATAAACAATTACTAACTATTCATTATCATTTTGTCCATTAATTCTTATTATTCACATGATTGCCTGAATATATATTGAGCAGGTTGGTCTAGATGTTCTGAGAAGGAAGAATGTCTTGCTACTCATTTCAAGCCTGGACTTCTCCCAAGATGAGCTTCAAATTCTCATTCAGATATACAATGACTCCAGACTGCATTCCACAAGGCAGGAGAGTCAATACGAGATGGTTTGGATCCCGGTTGTGGACCGGTCCATCCAGTGGGTTGATAGAATGCAGGTCGCGTTTGAAAGCCTGCAAGCCACCATGCCGTGGCACACAGTGCACCATCCCACTCTGATAGAGAAGCATGTAACCAGGTTCATCAGGGAGGTGTGGCACTTCAGGAACAAGCCAATCCTTGTAGTGCTGGACCCTCAGGGCAAGGTGGCTTGCCCAAATGCAATCCACATGATGTGGATTTGGGGCAGCTCTGCATTTCCTTTCACTACCCTTAGAGAGGAAATGCTTTGGAGGGAAGAGGCCTGGAGGCTTGAACTTCTCGCTGATGGAATTGACCCAATGATCCTGAATTGGGTAAAAATTCAAACTTCTCTTCAATCTCTTCAAAACCCTTGTTTTTCTTTACAAACCCATGAAATTTAATCTGTATTTTGCCCTGGGATTGTTCTGATTTCACCAGGCTAAAGATGGCAAATACATTTTCCTGTATGGAGGGGACGACGTTGAGTGGGTGAGAAAATTCACAACCACAGCAAAGAATGTCGCGCTAGCGGCTCGGGTTCCATTGGAGATGGCGTATGTAGGAAAAGGCAGCAAGAAGGAGTTGGTTCGCAGAGCAACGGCCACCATCACTGTGGAGAAGCTTAGCTACTGCTGGCAAGACCCCACCATGGTGTGGTTCTTCTGGACCAGGCTGGAGAGCATGCTGTTCTCCAAGATCCAGCTGGGCAAGGCCGACGACCAGGACCCCATGATGCAGGAAATCAAGAAGGTGCTCAGCTACGACAAAGAAGGCAGCTGGGCAATCCTCTGCAAAGGATCTAACGTGGTGGTCAACGGTCACGGAACCACAGTCTTACCCGCCCTACTAGAGTATGACTTGTGGAAGGAACAAGTAGCTATTAAGGGCTTTGATATAGCCTTCAGGGATCACCATGGTAAGCTTCATGACATTGCTCATCCCTGCTGCCGGTTCGAGTTTCCAATGGCGGCCGGAAGGATCCCGGAGGGGATGAAGTGCCCGGAGTGCAACCGCATGATGGAGAAGCACATTACCTTCATCTGCTGCCATGATGATGGCATTGCAGGAAAATTCCTCTGAACTTGGACCTCCATGGCTTTGTAGTCCTTGTCACCAAGGATACAAATATGGATTTGATACTTCACAATAAAGGTCGATTTCCATGAAATAACCAGGGTATGTGTCTCCAGCTATTTTTACTAAATAGTTGCTTGAGACTTGATCATATCCCCCTTTTTCCCCTCCAATTTTCATGTGTATGTGTTTTGTTTGAGGTTTGCACAATGTACTGTGACTTAATATTGATGTTATGATTGATATAAATAAAGAGCACAATTTGCTATCATACCTTTGCAAACTTCTCTTTTTTTGTCTTACATTTTCTTCTTTGAGCTAATTTGTTGGGTTGAAGCCATTTCTTGTTTAACATAAAGTTGGTGAAAACAAAAGAATTGTAGAAATACTCATAAAAAAAAAAGATTGTAAAGCAGAATTTAAGAAGGTAAAAGAATTACAAAATTGGTAAAGCTTAATTTGTTATATCTTCTGTAGAGCAAAATATGAAAAAAATAAAAATAAATAAATAAACCCTTGTTATTTCTCCTTCTTACATTTTCTCTGGACGATAATATATATTTATATATATTTCGGTATTGGAATTTGATAGTCAATGAAAAATGGGATTGACATTTTGCAATTTAAAATGACTCAAAATGCAAATTTATAATTTTATAACAATCAAAGAATTAAGATTTTAAAATCGATTCTTCAATATGTGTAATTTATTTTCAAACCTTAATATTTGGATTTAGTTGGTTATGAATTTAACTCTTACCAACTATTTAAAAAAATTATCATTCTCTCGTTTATTCCTCAATGCTTAAAAAAAATTAAGATTTTGAAGTAGGAGTAATTTGATTTGCAAAAAAACCTTTTTAAAAATACATATTTATCTCTAGAAAAATATATCTTGATCGCCGCTTCTTAGAAAATAATATTAGTAGTTCTTTTTCTTTTTCTTTTTTTGTAAGCGGGAAAATTTTAATTGAGAAGAATAATAAGAGTAAAAATAAATAAATAATAATAATAAAATGAGAGGGAAGAAAATCCTAATTCCTGAGCCCTAACCATGCCAACAAATTTGTCTGACCCAAAGGAAAAAAAAAAAAAAACCATTACCTAAAAGGCAAAACATGCAGATTAGCCCCTCAACTCGTCGACTGGTGGCAAATCACCCCCTCAACTCAATTCACGCGCATACTAACCCCTCAACTCATCTGCAGTGGCAAATCAACCCCTTTGTTAAGATCGACGTCATCATTCCGTTAAGTTTCAAGTTCACCTCATGAGCCCCTTCTCTGCAATTCATCATTCCGTTAACTCACTGCAACCTCATTCAAACCCCATTACCCTAAAATACAACATGAAATAACTGTCGTGAAAAGCAGACATTCCTAATGATATAATCAATTAAATTTGATAATGAACTCAGAATTCAAATTATAGCAATAAGTAATAATAGGTACAGTCACATTTCGTTGGTGAAGCTTCACCTCCCCACTCCTCGATGGCCCTCCCACCGCTAAAACATTCCGTATCTCCCTCGACAGCAGCTGCTGCTCCACCACATGCTGCTCCTCACTCTCCTCTCCATAGCTCGCTCCCAGTGAATCAAATAGCGCAGAGTAGTAATGTATTTCCTTTACAAACCTCCCTAAAAATGACCCCGCCAGACTCAGGTCCTGTTCCACCATCGTCACAAGCTTCGGCGCCAATCTGCAGCATCCATAAAAAAACTCATGAGATACCGAATCCATTTTTCTCTGTATATTTTAATTAAATCAAACAAAAAAATACAACTATAAATTGAGAAAATCAATTTTTTCAGAAGTATTATTTCCATGACACAGAAAGAGCTAAAAGGTGAAGAACTGTATCTTTGATTCTCTGTGCATGGAAGTATAAAAATTATTTATAAATTTGGGAATAAATAAATGGGTAGAAGAAAAAAAAGTTACCTTTACAGGAGCCAGTCAAACCCAGTTACATTGTACAGTGAATGCTGCAGCCAATGGACGGCAACGGCCTCCTTCTTACTAACATTCAACCTTTTTGGGTCTAAATTTCCAACCTTGTCTACCACCAAATGGCACTCGAAGGGGAGACCCAGTTTCTCGACAAAATCGAAGAGGCGTTTTCCGGTGGCGTTTTCCAGTTTCTCTGGAGTGAGTTAACGGAATGATGAATTGCAAAGGAGGGGCTGACGAGGGGAACGTTAAAACTTAACGAAATGACGACGTCAACATTAACAGAGTGGGCTGATTTGCCACTGCAGAGGAGTTGAGGGGTTAGTTTGCGCGTGAACTGAGTTGAGGGGGTGATTTGCCACCAATGGATGAATTGAGGGGCTAATCTGCATGTTTTGCCTACCTAAAAACCCTTTGAAGTTGAACGCTTTCGGAAGCGAATCCGCTCTTTTTCCCGAAGAAGAGCGCTGAGCAGAACTGGCTACTGACTTCAATGGCTTCTTGTCTTCAGAAGCTCCTGCGAAAATCATCACCAACGAAACTTGTTTCTGCTTTGCGCAACCCACAATCGCCAAACCCCACACCACTTCCCCTTCTTCACCCCCAAATCCTCTGCGCTGAACCCAGACCAAACCATGAGCAGAACCCCAATCATCTCCTGCCCTTTTCGGGAACCTTCAAAGCGGAGAACTTGACCGACTCGACCCATTATCAGTCTCCAGTTTTTTATCCTAGCTTTCCATTTGGGTTAATTTCAGACACGATTTATTTACCTGGGTCGATCCAATCCGAGCCAGATGATGACGACGTTTCAGGTGGTTCAGGGATTATTTGGGCTGACAGTGTAAAGAAGAAGAGAAAGAAGAAGATGAACAAGCACAAGTACAAGAAGCTAAGGAAGCGTCTTAGGAGAAAGACATAGATTCCTTCTGTTGGTGAGATTTTTAATGTTTTAATGGAGAAATATGTTAGATTTTGCTAATTTTGTTTTCCAAATTTCACATTATTCTGCTCTATAGACTGAAAGATCACTACTTTAAGGGAAGAGATTGCTCAAAGCTTGAATGTGAAACTTTTGAAGGTATTTTGTGGTGGCAGAAAACTGACTCAGCAGTTGGAATATCATAATTTGATTTTAAAGTTATGAAATTTATGAATTGAATTGATCTGAATAGTTTAAATAAAGATTTCTTGGGACAGACTCTGTCAATTTGTTTTTGCTTCCAAATATGTGAATTCCTTGCTTTCTTTAGGCCTCTCTGTCTCTGCTACTATCTATTAGTGCTTTAGCCACACTTTTCTTTAGGGATTGGGAAATTTGTCTCATACATTTTTGAATTATGTGATGGAAATGATGGTTTTTCTTTTAGCTACCTGTCTTTGATATTACAGGTCCAGTTATTCTCCTGATTAGCAGATTAAGCTTCCCTCAATTATGGTTCCAAGTAGCTTGAGTAGTAATTGGTTGGACTGATAATAAGTAAATTATCATTATCTGAATAAGAGATCTTATGCTTGGATGCTAGAACCTGGTTTTAGAGCTTTGGATCAACAATTAACCTAAGAAATATTGTAAAGTTGTCGTTTCACATACCAAATGCTGGTCCTGGACACTTGTATACTGGATAAAATCAGTGAAAAGACATTGTAGAGGTGTTCATGTACCTTTTTGTTTATTGCATAAAGCTTAATTCTTTATTCTAATCCAAGGTCAATTTGAGATATCCTAGACTTGAAAAGTTCATTAGAAGGAATGAAGTTTTTGAGTGAGGAAACCAACCCTAGGTTTATGACTCTGTCTACTCAGATCCACGAAAGGACATTATTGGATGGAGGATGGTAAAAGGCTTTTCCCCCATTTTACAACATTGAAGTATGGAGAAAAGTAGAGTTTTTGATATAAACTAAAGTTTAATGAGCAGCAGTGGGTTAAACTTCTGAATATATTGATGAGGAATTAAGGATAGTGTTGGTAACTAAGCTTATTGTATCTAAAGTGTGAATGAAACATACATTTGATCCATGTTAGCTTCTCGTTTTGTTATCATCTGAAAAGAAAAAATGTGTGGATATAGAGGAAAAGGGAGAGGATGGGGTATCGGGGAAGGATGGATGAAGTTATCTCATGTTTAGAGATCAACTACCTAAAGGAGAGAAACCCACTCCTTGGTAAAATTCTCCCATAATGGTCTGCACATTGTAGTTTCATTTTACACTTTACACATGGAAATTAATGTCTAAGGTCAAAATACAGGGAGATACTTGAGAGAATATGGACAGTCCTGATATAGAAGTAGGATTTGGATAATTCTGGAAAATGAAGTTTGAACTGACTGCTATTTTTCCAATGGATCATTTATCCTAAAATAGGAGTTTCAAAAGGTGACTGCCAACAGATATGAGACCTAATGAATGAACCTTACGAAGGGCTCATGTATTGCTGCATAAATGTACCCACACCTGATTATCTGATGATTGTAAGCAATACTGGTAATCATGGATCACTTGATTTTGTCATTTTTAAAGACGATCTAAATGCTTCAATCAACCTCATTAAAGATTGAGTCTATGTTTGTGACTAGGTACCCTCGCATGTGTGTACATGCCCTGATTTTCTTCTCTTGTTATACCTTTCATTATGGTCCACTGCTCCTGATGAAGGGGGCGGCGTCTCTTACTACTAAACAAGTTAACTGACTCGGTCAGCACCACACTAGCCACTGGTGCTATAAAATTATTGAGCCTCCCTCCATATAAATATTGCATGGTAGAGAAGTCTGAGAACATGTACCCTTCTGTCTCACGTTAAAACATAGCATGTTTCCTGTCTATCCTTTTCACCATTAGCCTGACTTTCATATCGCATTTGTTGTTGATGTATGGAGGCTTACTAGGGCTATACACTGTCATGTTGCATTTGTCTTGATGCATAGTTTACAATGATATCTAGTAGTTTTCATTTGGGCTGTGGTTGATGAATTTAGAGTAACTTGTTTTCTAACTAGCTTTGCAGAAGTAGATCCTACAGGAAACATACAAAAAATAGTTGAATTTACAAGTCATTTCGTTCAAAATTGCTCCCTCAGAGAAGGTACACATTATTTTAAATCACAACAAAGGTGGCTCTCTCTCTCTCTCTCTCTCAAGTTATATTATAT